TGAAGTAAATTCTTTGATACATTTTCCATTTTTAAAAATCTTCTAGTTTCAAAATGTGGTGGTCATAATCAAAACAACCTTAGGTGCTTCCATCCTCTATGTATTCAATCACAAAAACAAAAAACACTCTACTAACAGGTGCCAATGGCTCATGCCTATAATCCTACCTATTCAGGAGACTGACATCTGAGGATCAGGGTTTGGAGCCTGGGAAAGAATGTTCTGGGACTCTTTATCTCCAATTAACCACCAAAAAGCTGGAAGTGTGCTGTGGCTTAAGTGGTTGGTTCAGTGATCTCTTGACCAAAGAATCTCTGGGAGAGTGCTCAGTCCCTGAGTTCAAGCCCCAGGACTGAACCAACAAAAACAAAACAAAAAACACTCTACTGAGGAAAATTCAGTTAAGCCTTGTCTGCCTGGTTCAGATTGATAGCCTGTGTTTTCTTCCTATGTAGTATACATGGACCATTTTAAAAAGATCTGAAAGACAAGATCTAATAATAGGGAACAAATTTTTCTTCTCTGCCAGTGCTAATCACTCTATATGGGACTGCCAAGATGTTTATATTGATCACTAATACAAAGAAATTTTACTAGAATGTACCGAAGTCCTCTAAATTTGAAGAATAATTTCTTTTTTAGCAACATCTTTTGCTCTTTGTTTTAATTTTAATTTTTATTGTTATTATTAAGGTGATGTACAGAGAGTTTATAGTTATATAAGTCAGATATTCAGTACATTTCTTTTTGCAGTGTCACTCCTTCCCTCCATCTGTCTCAGTTTTCCCCCTCCTGTTCCCACCCAAAAGTTGCATAGTTCATTTTCAACATAGTATCTAATGAGTACCATTGCTACATTTGTTCACCTTTTGTCCTTCCATTCTGTGCCCCCCTCCTTGCCTTTCCAAACACAGATAAACAAACAAGATCAAAACGAAGAGAAAGAAACAAGAACAAAGAGAAAAACCTCTTGTTTCCATTTCCTGGAATTCATTTCAATATTGTTACATTTTATTTCTGTCAGATACTTCTTTCAATACATGACTGTTTAGCTGGCCTATCTTGCCTTTTGATGTGGAATATGTTAAAGTAGTTTTTCTGTTTGTTTGCTTTCTTGTGATGCTGGGGATCAAACTCAAGTCCTTGCATATACTAGGCAAGTGCTCTACCATGGAATTACATCTCATGCTGGAATATAAAGTATTGAAGATGAACTGTACTAAGCAATTACATTTAATTTTCTCCCATTAAGGGAATTCCCTCCTTCCTCACTGTGTGTGTGTGTGTGTATGTGTGTGTGTGTATGTATGTGTATACCGGTCTTAGTCATTGTCCTTGAGCTTTTGTGCTCAATTCTAGCATTCTACTACTTGAGCCATAGCTCTACTTCTGGCTTTTTGTAGTTAGTTGGAGCTAAGAGTCTCGGGGGTTTTCCTGCTCATGTAGCTTTGAACCTCAAACCTCAGATCTCAGCTTCCTGAGTAGCTGAGCCACCAGTGCCTAGCTAGAAATCCCTTTATTTTGTTCAACTGCTGAGTTGAGTCATCTAGCTGACTAACTTGGATATGTACTGTTTTGAATTTCTGATAATATATTTATTCATTTGTATCTGTTATGAAATCTGCTTCCCTCATTTGTAGGGCAATTTTCCTGACCTGAACAGATTTCTTCTTGTTTCTGTCTATCAAGGGCACTTTTGTGTGAGAAAGCCATTTTGTATATTAAACTTCTGACTAATAAAATTTGATATATGCATACACATCCAATATGTCTTAACACACTGTTGGCCACTTTGGTGTCATCTATTTAATGGTAGCTCCTTAGGGTTTGAGATGTAGTTCAGTGGTGGAGTGGGAGTGCATGCCTAGCATGCCCAATGCCATGAGATTGGGTCTTGTATCCAAGAATTCAGGAAAACAAAAGAAAAAGAAAAGAGTGACTATCATATTATCATGCCCTAATGATAACTAACAAGTATTGACTGTGGTTGCACAGTGTTACTTTCTATTTTTCTCACTAGTTTGCTATTACTATACCAGCAATTCTACAACATTTCTGATATTAAACCATTCTTTATTCAAAGAAGGTTCTGGTATATTCACAAATTAAAAGCTTCCCAAATTGCCTCACTGAAATGGGCCTTCTAATTAACACATATTAACACAATCTCAAGAGTTTCCTTTCACTGTAAGAATGAAAGTGTCTCTTAACAGAGAATAAGAATCACAGCAAGTTTTCCTCACCAATAAATTTCTGTAACTTCTTCCAACATCTTCCAAAATGGATTTTATTTTAACATAGCTTAAAAATTTGACAAAGGTATACATGTGACCACAGAGAAAACATAGAAGTAGAAGGTACACCACTCAGCTGCTATTTTGTAAGGTTGAATCTGTATGTTTTAGATTTGTGACAGGGAAATCAGAACTTCAATATAAAACACTAATGAACAGAGGAGGCAGACCTTCATATGACAGATAGCATTATTCTTTTTGTTTTAAATTTTATTTAAATTAAGTGAAGTGTACTTGAGAAAATAAATATCCCTGAATAGAGGAATCAGAAAATTGAAAAGCAAATCAGGGCATTCTTAACTACTAAAGAAGGAAAAGTGATCCCATTATTAGCTAACTATGCAGCTAGATAAGTATAGTATGTTTTGGGTCTCAGTTCAACTGTTACCTACTTGGCAAATGACCATATTGTCCTGTTGTCTTCCTCTTCCCCTTCCCCTTCCATTTTCTGATAGATCTTTTCTGACAGGGTCTTACTGCATAGTCTAGGCTAACCTCAAACTCATGATCCTCCTACAATAGCCTGATTTCTGGAATTATAGACATGTATAACCATTTTGGGCTATTAATCATCTTTCTAAGTACTATTCTTACCCATCTCAGGATGATGTCAAATAAATAATCTGATGTTTATTGATTTATTTGTCAAAGCAAAACAAACCCCTTTAGTCGTTTTTTTTCCCCTACATGATCAAACTTGGCTTGTTATATGACATTTTATGATCTGACTCTCACCAGCTAGCTTTCCTTATTTTCTAGAGTCCCAGCATCCCTTCTACTAAAATTTCCTCAGGCTCTTTAATGTGATGTTTTATGCCTTCTCTACTTTTGCAACTTTTCTGTGTTTTCATATTAAAAATACTATTGCTGCAAGGCTCTGTTCAGAGGAATCTTTTCCTGACAATCCCTCTTTTACTTTCCACATGAATTTCATTCTTTTCTTTTGCCACCTCTGGGACTTGCTCATTGCAAGTATTTGCTTAGCATACATTCTCCATGATTAGATTGTGAATCCCTTTAGGAAGTACATTGTTCTCCTGTCTCTCTCTGATAAGCTTTTACTGCATAAATAAATGAATAAGTTTTAAACTCTGTTTTCATAAGTAGCTCTTCATTATTTACTAGGAAAGCAAAATTCTCTAAATTTGTTCTTTAGATTCTAAAAGTAAGACAAGCGTCTTTTAGAGTATAATATGTTTTTCTGTTTTCCTTCTTAATTTTTATTCTTGGTTTCAAAGAGGTTTGAGATCCTCTCAATATTAAATGAATTTATATTTAGTCTTTAAAGTTGGCTTGAATCAATAACATTTTCCAGAAGTTTATTTTTGTGTGTGGTACTGGGAATTGAATGCAGGACCTGGTGCCTGCCCGGCAGGTACTCTACCACAGAACCAGGCCTCCAGAACAGTTTTGTGCTCAGTGTGTGTGTGTGTGTGTGTGTGTGTGTGTGTGTGTGTGTGTGTGTGTGTGTGTGCTGATACTGGGGTTTGAACTTAGGGTCTAGATGCTAGATGCTGTCTCTTAGCTTTTTTGCTTAAGGCTGGCATTCTACAAGTGGAGCCACAGCTCCACTTCCAGTTTTTTTTTTTATTTTTTGTTTTTTTGTGGTTAATTGGAGATAGAGTCTCATAGACTTTTCCTGTCTGGTCTGGCTTCAAACCACAATCCACATATGCCAACTGCCTAAGTAGTTAGAGTTTACAGGTATGAGCCACCAGCATCCAGCTGCACTGATGTTTTTTGCCCCCTTTAGTTATTTTTCAAATAGGGTCTTGCTCTTATCAGGCTAGTTTAGACCACTGTCCTCCTATTTACACTTCCTAAGTATCTGGAATGACAGATGTGCACCAGTACACTCAGGTTTTCATTGTGATGAGGTCTTGAGGTTTGGTTTTTCACTGTTTTATTTTGTTGTTTGTTTGTTTGTTTTTGGTTTGGACTAACCTGGAACCATAATTGCTCAGGTCTCACCTCCCAAGTAGCTTGAATTATAGGCATAAATCACTCCAACTACACCTAGCCTGAATATCAGAAAGATGAAACATATATGATTGGGGTAGGGGTGGAGGTAAGGAAGGGGGATGGATGAATGGAAAGAGAAATAGTGGGTGAATAATGTATGTATGTTAAAATGAAACTCAGAATTGGATTGGGAACAGATGGGATGAAACTGATTAAGATGCATTGTATACATAAATAGACATGTTGAATTGAAATCACCCTTTGTACAGCAGTATGAAGAAAATAATAGCCATAAAGTAAAAAGGTAGAAATTTGTTGTTTTAAAAGAAGTAAATATTTATTATATAAAATTTAGAGAATATATGTAAACAATATTTTTATCCTGAAGTTTTATCAAATTCTGTCAGGAATTGGAGATCATACTGTAACAGTTCCATGTGATAAGCTTTGTGGTAGACAAATAATAATTGAATTGACCCAAGTTAGTAAGCCAACCAGTAAGAGATTCTGCTTCTTTTAGTGTGTGATGCTGGGGATTGAACTCAGGGTGATTCACTTATTATTAGATATCAGTATGCCTCTAACTTTATAAATATTTTTCAATTTTACTTATTGAGAAAAATGTTATAGACAACTGTTTTGTTTGGAATGATTCTTTGTTTCATAGGTATTGTTATTATTGGCTTGTAAAATTTAAAAATATTACCTAATTTATATAAATTTTACAACTATATTTATTTGCAGAATCTGTGTTTGTGGATATCCTCGACAACATGTAAGAAAATACAAAGGCATGAGTAACAGGATACCAGTTTCTTCAGGTTTCATGGTGCAAATGTTAACAGGAATTTATTTTGCCTTGTAAGTTTATCTCATATACAAAGCATATCTTTTTTGTAACATGATAGTTTGTTCATTTTTACTAAAAATCTCAGTAGATAAGCGGCATTTTATGAAAGAATAAGAATCAAGATCTTGATAATAGTATTACTTAAAATTTATCTTTTAAAGTAGTGAGTACTTAGAAACCAACTAAAATGATATTTTTTGGTTAATTCAAGGACAGAATGAAAGTGAATGATGTTTAAATATACTCAATCCCTTTATTCATTACTCTTTTTACTATAGTTTACAAAAAGGATTTTTCATCTGTTGAATATCTTTCTGTTTCCAGAATTTTTTTGCTCTCCAAAAGCATTTTAGAGTCTCTTTAACCAGAAATCATTTGCTACTATTAATTACTGGTATTCAGTCTTATGTAATAACTTATGCATTAGTATGCATGTTTGAAGCTTATTACACATATACTGTGCTTTGTATTATACTCACTTGATTGTTTTATTTTCTCTGGTACATTATCAGCTTCTTGACTGAAGGCAAAATTTATGGTGTGTGAACCAAATCTAGCCTGCTACATATTTTTGTAAACTTTTACTAAATCACAGTCATGCCCTTTTTTCTTTGTCTTTAATTTTGAATCTTTAATGTCTGTGAAGCTGCCTTCAATTTACTTATTCTTTCCTTGATTTGACAGTCTACTGGAAGCCACTGAAAGCATCCTTCATCCTTTATTGTTTTAGGTCTAGTCTTTTCATTTGACTTTATCATAGTTCCCATCTCTGCTGAATTTTCCACCTATTGTGAATGTTGTCTATCTTTCCACTAGAACATTTAATATCTTTTTTTTGGGGGGGGGGTCCGGTTGTGGGGCCTGAACTCTGGGCCTGGGCACTGTCCCTCAGCTCTTCAGCTTAAGGCTAGCACTCTACCACTTGAGCCACAGCACCACTTCCAGCTTTTTTCTTTTTGCTTATGTGGTGCTGAAGAATCGAACCCAGGGCCTCATGCATGCAAGCCAAGCGCTCTACCACTGAGCCACCTTCCCAGCCCCTAGAACATTTAATATCTTAATCAGTATTTTTTTTTGTGTGTATGTGTGCCAGTTCCAGGGCTTGAACTCAGGATCTGGGTGCTGTCTCTGAGCTTTTTTCCTCAAGGCTAGTGCTCAACCACTTGAGCCACAATTCCACTTCTGGCTTTTTGGTGGTTTATTGGAGATAAGAGTCTCATGGATTTTTCTGCTTGGGCTGGCCTTGAACCTTGATCCTCAGATCTCAGCCTCCTGAGTAGCTAGGATTACAGGTGTATGCCACTGGCGCCTGACTACTTCAAATTCCTATAGTGCTGTTATCTTGCATTTATTTAGGGTAGGAGCTGGATTGTTGGAGGATTTTCCTCAATATTCCTTTTCCATTCTCAGGTTTCAGCTTTCCCTGCAGGCCTGCCCCTCAGGAAGAGTCCCCCCATGTTTTTAGCCCTCTTCTAGCATTAGGAGTGCTCTTGCTTGTTTCTAGATGTTGTTACACTAGGCTGGTGGTGATGGTGGGGGTGGCAAGTGGTGTCCTCTGTTCTCTTGGTCCAGCCCATTGTGGACAGTATCTTGTTCCCTGTGTCTCAGAGATAGTATTTCCCAGTGTCCCTGTTCCTTCTCTAGTTGTAAGGGACCCCTAATGATATCAGCAGAGAATGATGTTTTCTTATTTCTTTTTTTTCTTTTCTTTTCCTTAAAGCTACAGTTGGTCTTCACCTATTTCCTAGGGATAAAAGGCTTTTTTTCTTGCTCCCCAGAAGCTTTAAACTTTTGTTGCACATGAAGAAATGGTTAGGCTGTGTCTCTGTGCATTTCTCACATGAATGGCCACTCTGTTCCTCAGGTCTGCAAAACAGAGTGCAGCTTTTTTTGGTCCTTGGCTGTTTCGTCTTCCATGTGAAGCAGGACAAGTGTGGTTTTTCTCATATATGTGCTCCTAGAGGATCTGTACTCTCCTGCTAGCCTGTGAGACAACTTAAAGAATTTGTCTTTCTTACCCATTTGTATTATAGCCTACTCTCCTTAGGGTTTAGGCTACATAGTTGCCCTGTGGTCCCAACTCTCTGATGAAGTCATGAAAGGTTACCTTGTGGTGAAGATTACCTGGATTTATCTTGATTTTAGGATGAGTGTACTGCACTTTCCAGTTTTTTAGGCTTCAGCTTCGCTTGAGCTTTTTTATTTATGGTGGTACTGAGGTTTGAACTCAGGAACACAGAGCCTTGAACTTGCCAGGCAGGTGCTCTTACACTTGAGCCCTACCCATCATCACCTGCACTTTTTATATAATTTACATCTCTTAATTTTGTTGACAGATAAACAAGCTGTTTACTTATAAAAAATTTATTCAGAAATGCTAAAAACAGAAGGGTTGTAGTTACATAAGACAGAGTATATTGCCTTTAGTATGCTTTTTACTTTTTATTAGTTAGCTAATATTTAAGAAGAGTTTGGTATATGTTTGAAAATTATGCATATATTCCACACATACACTTTCCTTATCATATTTCTCTCATAATTACAATATACATTATGTACATTTCTTTTTTCTTTTTTTATTGTCAAAGTGATGTACAGAGGGGTTACAGTTACATAAGTAAGGCAATAAATATATTTCTTGTCAAACTTGTTACCTCTTCCCTTATTTTTCTCCTTACTTTCCCTCCTTCTCACCCTCTTCACCCCCAAGTTGTACAGATCCTTTCCAACATATTGTCTTGTGTATATTGCTGTTGCATTGGTTCTTTGTCTCACCATTCTGTCATTCCCCTTCCCTTCCCTAATTCAAATAAATGTATATACAATACCAGGGTACCAAAATCAAATCCATACTATAGGAGGAAGAACATACAAAAGAAACAAAAAAAATCACATAGTACATTAAAAACAACAACAAAGGAATACCTCTTGTGTCCATGTCTTGGAGTCCATTTTGCTTAGTGTCATCTTATGTGGTCATATGTACATAGCTATTGAGCTTTTTTGCTCATCTGCTAAGATTATTCTAATTATTGCAAATAAGAGAAACCATGTGACCTATGTTTCTTTGGGTCTGGCTTACTTCACTTAATATGATTTTTTTTTTGGGGTCCGGTTGTGGGGCCTGAATTCTGGGCCTGGGTGCTGTCCCTCAGCTCTTCAACTCAAGGCTAGCACTTTACCACTTGAGCCACAGCGCCACTTCCGGCTTTTTTCTTTTTGCTTATGTGGTGCTGAGGAATAGAACCCAGGGCCTCATGTATGCAAGGCAAGCACTCTACTACTGAGCCATCTTCCCAGCCCCTTAATATGATTTTTTTTGCAAGTCTTTCCATTTCCTTACAAATGGGGTAGTGTCATTCTTTCTGATGGAAGCATATATATATATATATATATATATATATATATATATATATATATATATTACATTTTCTTGATCCATTCATCTACTGAAGGGCATCCATTATGTACATTTCTAAATGGCCTTCGGGATGTGAAGAGATAGTCAGGTACCAATGGCTCATGCCTACAATCCTAGCTATTCAGAAGTTTGAGATATGAGGATCATGGAGCCAGCCCTAGGCTGTGAAGTCCATGAAACTCGTATCTCCAATAAACTACTAAAACAAAACAAAACAGAAGTGGAGCTGTGGCTCAAGTGGTAGAGTGCTGGCCTGGAGCCAAAAAGCAGGGATTGACCTTCAGGCCCTCAGTTCAAGTCCCAGAACCAGAACCAAAAAAAGAGAAAAAAGAATGTAAAGAAATAACTATACAAGATCCTAATGTGTAGTAGATTCGTATTAAAAGCCATAGGAATTACTGAGTAATTTGACTACAAAGTGTTCTGAGCATTATTCTAAGATATGTATATATAAAATCCCTTTATGTATAAAATCCTTTGACTTGCTTTAAAAGTATAAGCTGCTTTGAAATTGTTCTAGCTTTTGGTCTCTGTACTATAAATAGTCATGTTCTTTAGAAAAGAAATGTACTTCTATAAAATTGTCTTTGCCATTAATAGGCTTTCAGATAATAGGAATTCAAATATTTAAAAATACATTTTTAAGTGAAGTAGAATGTTACACAGTGTATTAATGCGGTCAATTACTTTCCTTAATGAACATAAGTTTCTCATTATATTTGTACAGTTATATTAATTTATTAAAAATAAAAATACTTTAATTCATTTGATTTAATAGATACAATGGAGAATGGGATCTAGCTCAAAAAGCATTGGATGATATTATATATAGAGCCCAGCTAGAATTATATCCAGAGCCACTGCTGGTAAGTGTCTCACTTAATTATGGAAAATTTTAATTTATGAATTTTCAATAAGTAGAGAAGTAGTCATTCATAGTATACTAATATGCCACTGATTCATACTCCTACAATATTGAGGAAATACTATATTTGAAAGTTATATGAAATGTTGAATGTTTTTCTTCATATGTGGAAGCTAGAATTAGCCTATAAATTAATAAATAAATGCATTAAAGTATATAAAAATATATACTTGCATACCACCTAATGCATTTATTCAAATAGTGGGAGAATTCAAATAATGTGATCCCTTAGAAAAGCAAAGGCAAAGTAACAAAATGAATGCCAGGAAAGGGACATTTGAAAGGGTTGGGAAGGGAATGAGGAGTGAAAAGAAGGGGAGAAAGGAGTCAAGAATTTGGTGTATATCCTACAAAATTTAAGAAAAGTTTGGGAAGGAGAAAGGTGGATAGGATGGCTGAGAATGTTGAAAGGAATGACATTGATCAAGATGTATTGTATTTATAAACTGCTTTGATAAATGACAACTCCTTTGTACAACTATTTAAAGATAATAAAACTAAAAAGGACATATATAAAAAATTAGACTTTTTAGTAACTTAATAAAAATAAACTTTTTGTTACAGGAAGCTCTTCTTAACATGAATTTAGATGCTTTTATTAATTATCATTAAAAATTTGGAAACCTAATTAAATATTTTGAAATTTTTAATTTCATCACATATTATTTTTAAGATTTCTTTAAGATTTCTTCTGAGCCTCTTACTCTTTATAATAGAGGACTTATGTATGATGAATACCTTAGAGAGAAATTCTTTTTATACCTGTTAACATTTAACCTTTTGTTTTATCTAAGAGTAAAATAATATGTCCATTAATGTCAGTCTTAAACTATATTTTTCCATTTTAGGTTGCTAATGCAATAAAGGCTTCGTTGCCTCATGGTGCCCTGAAATCTAGTAAGGAAGGTACAAGATGTATTCAAGTTGAAATCACACCAACATCCTCTAGAATATCAAGAAATGCAGTAACCAGCATGTCAATAAGAGGTCACAGGTGGAAAAGACACGGTAAGAAATATATAACTCTTCAAATTAGAGTACTGCTCACTTGTTCACATTTTTCTCTGTGCTTATGATGCTGGAAATTTCAACTTTAGTAAACAGTACTATAGTAGCTTGCAAGAAAAGATTGTCAAGTCACTTTAACTCCTGATTTATTATCTAGAGCAATAAGGAAGGTGCAGCATAGATATATGTAACATGTGTATATAATAAATATAAGTATGTAGAACATATATATATAACATATAAATATGTGGGGTTTTTTTAAGCTATAGGCTTTTAAGTTTTATTTCAACAGAGTAGGAAAAGAAGGAAAATGCACTTTAAAATTAGTCATACATTTTGCGTTTCTATTGTTAAGTATTTGCAGATATTCCTTAATATTTGTCAGTTTTCAATTAACTATTTAGCAGGTAAACTTACCTATTGAAGTAGAAGAACTACTAGGGACTTTAAACATCTTGTCTGAACTTCTTGGTAAAGACAGCACTAAATATTTCTTTTTTTATATGTTTTAAGATTGTTTATTGTTTGTGTTATTATTCCTTCTTTTCTGCTTCATTTTATTATTTTAAATTATAGTGGAAGTTAATTTTATTTATCATGGTCTTTTCAGTGTTTCCCTATTACCCTCCCTTCTCTTTTAATTTATTCCTTATTTAATTGCATTTTTTATATCTTTCTTCTATCTAGAAGTTGTTATAGTGGCAAGGATCAGTGTAAGAAGAGGATTAATGTCACCTTCCTCAGAAGGTGACCTTTGGATTGGAGGCAAAACCATTCTTTGCTCCAAGCAAACATATGTATTAGGGGTAAAACAAAATCCAGTGTATATTTCTGTGATGAAAATGATAGCTTCCTTTGACATACTGTATTTGGTTTCAGCACTGTCTGTGGCTCTGTAGAGGAAATGGGGAAGGAAAACAATAAGTCATGTAGAAAGCTAACTATGAAAACAGTTTACATTTTTTTTCTCTCCCAGAATCTAGGAGGTGGTACACCAAAAAAAGACTAAAGATGAAATTATTACCCTAGCTATAATAATGACTCAGTTTAACCAGTAATTGTTCTCGGCCTTGTTTTTTAAAAAAAGTTACTGTGAGTTTGCTGTTAGGAAGGCAAATCATACTACTATTCAAGACATCCAATATCTAGGCATGTTCAATTTCTTCAGTTAAAATCATGCTGTTGAACAAGATTAGATGGCAGGTATAAAGTAATTTAATAAAAAAATAGTGATACATCAAAGTTCAGTGTTTCTTTTCTGGCATCACTGTCCAAAAATAGTTGCAGAGGCAACAAACCAGATTATATTGGGCTCAGTGGACATAATCACTTCCAAACTATTGCCCCTGGAAATATAAGAATAAATTTTAATTCCTTTTCCACTTTCCCTTCTTGCTGTTTAGGTGGACATATTGGGAATTAGGTGGGGAGGGGGGAACATAGTCTGTGTAGTTTAAAATGTGAAAAATATTACAGTACTCTTGTATTTGTGCATACGTGTGAGTGTATATGTGTACATGCATGTGTGTATGTGTGTCTGTGTCTGTGTCAAGGTATGGATTTAACAGAAGGAAATATTTACCATGCAATAAAATAGAAAGTATTTTCTAGAAATATTTTGTGGGAAAATTTACCAAAAGAAAAGACGAATATATGGGTATCTATTAGATTCTTAAATATCTTATAGGTTCTTTTTTCTGGGGGGGGGGGTCCAGTCCTGGGGCCTGAACTCTGGGCCTGGGCTCTGTTCCTCAGCTCTTCAGCTCAAGGCTAGCGCTCTACCACTTGAGCCACAGCGCCACTTCCGGCTTTTTCCTTTTTTTGCTTATGTGGTGCTGAGGAATCGAACCCAGGGCCTCAGGCATGCAAGGCAAGTGCTCTACCACTGAGCCACCTTCCCAGCCCCTCTTATAGGTTCTTTTTTGGCTGCCACTTGAGAGTTTGTACTTTGTAGTAGGGCTACTGCCTCATAAAATACCCTTCTTTATGTTTATTCAGTCTTCACAGCTCTTAACAATTGAGCAAGTCCTATTAATGAGAACAAAATTGTCATAAATGAGGATGTTGAAGAGAACAAGCTGTGAAAAACCAAGTCACATGCATGATCAGATACATAATATTGCTTAGCCTTCTTTGCCCTCTTCTATAGTGAAAATTCCCTTTATCCTGTAGACTATAAAATATTCCATGTCTATGATGATGATTATTTACCTACAGGTAGTTTGTGTTCTCTCTTTTTAGGGTTGTCTTGATTTTCCTTCTATGATCTGTTCCTATAACAAACTACACAAAGTTGAGAACTTACAATGAAACGAAGTTTATTTACTGTATGATCAGGAAGTTTATTTAATATATGGTTGAGCAACTTCATCTGTTTGGCTTGTCAAAAAACTCTTGTGGGATCACACTGTGTGGGGAAAAGGAAACAAACAGCTGTGTAGGAAAGGCTAGGGGTCAGCTTGTGAGGTGGCCTTGCTTCATAGCAATACACTCTAAGTTACTGACCAAAGCCCTACAGCAATTACTTTCAAGGGCAGCATCCCCAATGACCTAAGTATCTCCCAACAGGCCCCACATCTGAAGATTCCACCACCTTTTACATCACACTGGAGACCAAGATACCAGCACATGAACTCTCCACAGACATACTCAAACCATATTTAAGTCACATAGCACCTTCCTAGAGTAATTTTTCATTAAATTTCCATGCTCTGCTGAGTTAATTGAAACCATTCCTATTTTCTGCCTTCATGATCCTGCTTCCTGTTTGGGCACATTATTTTTCTAGGCTCTCTATTCAACATTGGCTTTCTAGGAGAAGATAGGTATCTTTGATATTGTCTCTAACTAGACAATTCTCAAATTATAAATTTAAATTTTTGAATTATACATAAAATTACACTTATTGTCTTTGACTGGTTTTCCAGCACACCAAAATTCTAGTATATAAACCATACTTATTTCCTTGTACTTTTCATTCTTACTGGTACATCTTTCAGAGCAAATTTAAGGGCTATTTCTTTTGTTCTCCACAATTACTTCTGCCCCTGTGACTCATTCTTTTACTTTAAGAAATTATATACATAAGCAATTTTCCTCCCATCTTTTAAAATAGTTTTTTGAAATACCACTCTTTTGTTTTATAGAAGTCTAATTAGATTATGGCTACAAATAATAAGTGCTTATAATTTTAGCCAACAAATACCTAATAAAAGCCCCATCCACTGGGCGCTGGTGGCTCACGCCTGTAATCGTAACTATTCAGGAGGCTGATATCTGAGGATCACAGTTCAAAGCCAGCTGGGGCAGGAAAGTCTGTGAAACTCTTATCTCCAATAAACCATCAAAAAAATGGAAGTGGTGCTGTAGTTCAAGTGGTAGAGTGCTAGCCTTGAGCTGAAGAGCTGAGGGATAGCACCCAGGCCTAGAGTTCAAGCCCCATGACCAACAAAAATAAAAAATAAATATAAAAAAACAAAAAGCCCCATCCATTCCAATGCTTCCTACTATTCTTTACACTTGTATATTTGTGAGATGATTAGGCAAGTAAGTGAAAGCCATTTGTATACTGAAAGCACCACACAAAGGCTAAGAATTGTTTATCTTATTAGCTATACAACAATTATAGTTTTTAACTTTTTATTAACTAATTTACCACTCAAGTGGATGTGTGACCATTTGATCCTGTGATTGATTAGTCCTTTCATAAAATTTTTATTAAGCTTTCTTACTTTTGAATACTTGAAATTTGAGACAGCAGGATCACGAATTTGAGGCCAGGAAACCCCATCTCAAAAGCCTTAAAGAAAAAGAAAAATTGTCAGTTTGTGAGTACTATCAAAACCAGAAATATATATATATGTTATATAATGGTAACAATCAGCTTAATGATTTTTGTTTTGGTTTTTGTAGCCCTGAAGTATAGTTCTTCTAACTTGTTTGTATGACTTATGTCACTATTAGAGTCATGATTTTAAACCTGTTGTTTTAATATCTATTATATTAATCTCTAGTTAATGTCAAAATAGAAATTGACATATAATTACAACTGCTTGCAACAAATGTGTATATTAATAAAAATAATTTTATAAATTAGATACTATGAATTTTTCTCTAATTTTGGTAGGCATATGTTAAATGGTTTTATTTTGGTAGCACCACTACTATTTATTTAGTGGTACTGGGTATGGAATTCTGGGCTTGCACCTATAGGCAAGTATTCAGGGTTTCCTTATGTAGTTCAGGCTAGCCAATGAACTTGTTATGTAGCCTAGGCTGGCCTTAGCTTCCAAGTGCTGAAATTATAGGTGTATACCACACAAGAGAGAGAGGGGAGTGGGGAAGAAGAGGGAGAGGGAGAAGGTGAGGGAGAGGGAGAAGGAGAGGGAAAGGGAGAGGAGAGGGAGAGGGTGAGGGAGAAGGAGAGTGGGAAGGAGGTAGAGAGGGAGGGAGGGAGGGGGCTGGAAAGGTGGCTCAGTGGTAGAGTGCTTGCTTTGCATGCATAAGGCCCTGGGTTTGATTCCTCAGCACCCCATAAGCAGAAAAAAAGCCAGAAGTGGCACTGTGGCTCAAGTGGTAGAATGCTAGCCTTGAGCTGAAGAGCTGAGGGACAGTGCCCAAGCCCAGAGTTCTTACCCCACGACTGGAAAAACAAAAACAAAAAAACCTGTTTGTGATTTAGAAAATGTTAGTAAGTTTCTATCACATAATAAGATGTATAACACAAAAAAGTACTTTCTATTGAACAAATCTAAAGAATCATAGATAAATTTCAGCTAAGTATTTTTTAATAATTGTACATAAATACTTCAAAACATTTGTAATTTTCTAGTTACTAAGTAAGGTGAATTCATAAATCGATAAAGATATGGGATATTTATTTTGCAAATTTGATTTCATGACTATGATAAATATCTTAAATTGAGGAGAAATAAAATTGCTAATTGGTTTATAAAATTTTGAAAAACAAAGATGCTAGTAATTTTAAACTAAGTAGCTAC